TGCCGGCCTAAACCCTCAGACTACTGGAATCCAGCTGCAACCAGCCTTTCTGTCAGCCCACCCTTCTTCAGGCCCAAACCCACCCATCTCCCATACTGTGTGCACAGCTGTCTTCATATGAGTCTGTGGCCACATCCTCCTCTGTATCCCACTACCCTCAAATTTCTTGTCCTGGTGATTAAGGACTATGCTGTTTGAGGCAGTTTCCTCCAGAGGTGACTTTCCCCAACAAGTACTGTCCCCTAGACTCCTGGCCTGCTCATGCTCACTCCCCAGCCCTCGGCCTTTGTAGTTTACTGTGCTAGGATCATGCTATGCCTGGTGTAGAGAACATCCCTCCCTCCTTGTGACACCATCTTCTCCATTACTGGGGGGCCGGTGGGGGGAGGGGCTGTGATTTGGGAACTGCCCCCTATGGTGTGTGGGTTACTTAGCAACAGGGACAGAGAGGCCCAGGAGCCCAGAGTGGGTACCTAAGGAACATTTGTGCTTCTTCAGGGTTATATTTTGATAGTCTCATTTTTATGTCTCTGTTCCTAAAGCATTCTATTATGTTTTATGGTTCTATGGCTGACCACCCCTGCCCTGTGATAGGAAAAGAACATTCATGGAGGGATTGCAGGAACTAGGGGCTGATGTAGGGAGGCCTTAGATCTGACACCAGAAAGCTTGAGATTGGGAAACAAACAATATTTGTACTCGGGAGGACCGGGGTGGGCTGTGGGTAGGGCTGCAGAGAGGGGTCTGACGGGCGGTGGGCCCCTTAAGGGCATTCCTCTAGCCATAACTCCTGTGCCTCACCCCAGAAGCCCTTGCTGGATATTCCACCAGTGTGGGTGAGGCTGATCCCCTAAGTCACCTCTAGGCCTCTGGTTAAAGTACCACCATGGGGATTGGGTGTCACACATTAACTGGTAGCACCCGCCTGCCTGACAGAGCCAGCCTGCCCTTTTTGATAGGCAAGCCCCAGGGCCCCAGGGTCAGTTTCTGGTCAGTTTCAGTGGTTTGAAAAGGTCTGGTTGGGGGGGGGTAGGGAGCTGCCTTTAGGGATTCCTGCCTCTGATGGGGAAGAGCCAAGATGGTTACTGGAGCTCAGAACTGGAGCAGAGACTGGACTCCGGCCCAGTGACCCTAAACTGGATTCTGCTGCTGCCATTGCTGCTGTGAGTAGGGCTCTGGCCAAGCTACACAGACCCTAGGGCCACGGTGGGCACCAGACTCAGGAAGGAAAGACAGAGGCTCAGCTCTTAGCTCTTCAGCCTGGCCTCACTCCCTCAGAAAACCCCTTGTCCCGTTCTGGGAGCTCTGTGGGGAAACTGGCCTGCAGACCCTCAACACTTCATCCCCCAATCCTAGCTCCAAAGTCAGCTTGAATCCCTATCTCAACCCTGATCCCGGACTGAGCTTTATCCCCCACACGGAGTCTTTATCCCAGTCTGACCTCTGACCCCTAGCTGAACCCTGACCCCAGGCTGAGCCTCCACCAAGCCTCAGACCTCTCCCTGGTTCCAGGCCCCTCTGGAAGTTTTTCAAGGCAAGGGGCTGGTGGGGGTGGGGATGGCCAGGCCATAAGTGAACCGAGGTGCCACTTTTACAGCCATTTCGCCTGCTCATAAACACCCCCCACCCGGATGAGTCACTGGAGGCTCCCACAGCAGCTGCTGCTCGGGCAGCCCCCTCCCCTTGCAGCAGGAAGCCTGGTTTTCTCACCTCTCAGGAAGGCGAAGGGAGGGAAGCTGGGGGCAGGGGGCTGGGAGGCTCTGCCCCAGGCAGGGAGCACTCCTGGGGCGCCTGGAGGAGGGGGGGGCCTCCTGTCAGAGACCCCCTCCTGCAGTAACGCCAGATCCACAGATATCTCCACGCAGGCACGCCTTGTCTGCCCCACAGCACGACACAGGCACACACATGTACACACGCACACAAACACATGCGCTAACGCAATGGGGCAAAACAGCCTTGCCGCTCCCAGCTGTGCTCGGGTCCCAGGGTTGCCTTGGATCCCACTCACCTGGAGCCCACAAGGTCTTCCGGGTAGGGCCTGGAAACACAGAGCAGATTCAGGTCGGCCATGGAGAGGCCATGGATAGGTCTGAGCTGCCTCTGCTTCAGACCTAAGCAAGGATGTTGCTGCTGGGGACAGGAAAAGGCTTAAGTGAGAGCTTTCGCTTGAAAAGAAAAATTAATTATTTTTTACCAAGCCCTGCACCAGCCCAGGACTTTGTCCCAGACGCCTGGTGGGGGAGCAGAGGGAGGTCCAAGTGTACCTGTGTTCCGTGCCCTGAACTGGGCCCTCCCCCACCTCCATGGGTGTGACACAGGCCAGCCCAGCCCTTCAGGTGTGGATGTGACACGGTGGTCCTCTCCTTGCCCTTCCAAGCCTCTCTCTGGCTAACTCTTCTTCCGTCTGTTCTGGTGTCCCCGTCTGCCTCTCCTGGCCTTTTCCATGTCTCAGAAATTTCAGGCCACCGTGAGGTATGAGCAGAGCCCCTCTGAGTGACTTCGTTAAAGTCTTTGGCACCTGAAGGAATCAGATGGAGGCTACAGGTAGTTTATACCTAGCTCACAGGCAGAAAAACAGACCTGGGAAGGCCTCGCCTCTCAGCACTGGGTGCTCAGTGTTCTTCAGGCAGGTGACACGTGGGGACACTCATTCCACCCAGCCCTTGTCCTAATCCTGCAGCCCCATAGCCGCTCCGTATCTGACTCCTTGCCCACTGGAATGTGGGTTCTTGGCATGAAACCAGCCAGTGCCACTCAGGCTCAGGGTCTGCATATGCTGTTACAGAGGCAGGGTTGTGGACAGGATGACCTTCCTCTGTGGTTCTGTGGAGTGAGCTGTGACGGAACCAGGGCTGGGTCACGACACCGAGAGCGAGGACGTGGACAGATGGGGTGGAAGAGGCCATGCAAGACCCTGGAGCCTCACTCCTGCACCCGGAGACCCTGGCTGGAGGCTGCCCTTCTGCCTGAGCCCAGCCTGAGCTGGTTTGTGTCTGGAAGTCCCAGGCTGAGCCTGACGAGGTGTAATGATTCACGTGGCTGCTGCCTCTCAGCACATTCCAGCAGTAGCCCCCAGCGCCTGGCACGTGAGGTGGCTGGCCCCAGACCAACCCCAGCAGCTGGGGCACGTTCCTGGGGCCCCCATCCTCAGGGGAGACCCTTCCCCAGGTCTTCCAGGCTCCTGGGGAGGACACCACAATTTACAGTTTCCAGAGCACTTTCTAGTTCACAGGCTGGAGAGGGAGGTAGAGAGCTTGTCCATACCTGGCCTCCGGGTGGGAGAAATGAGGCTGAGGGGGTAGACCAGGATGGCTAGGGGCCTGGAGTGAGACGATGACAAATTAGTGTTTTTGGGGCTCCTGCCCCCCGGTGCTGGGCTGCTCCTAGGAGCGCAGCACCAAGGGGGATCCCTGGGTGCACAATGGGGACCAGATTTCAGCTTTGCAGGTCAGTTTTCCTCTGCCCTCTGTCAAGCTTGCTGCTGCCTGACTCTCCACTCACGGAGCCTCTCCCTCCTCTGAGCCCCACACGCCCCTCTGCTCTTCCTGCTGTTCCCACTCTCTCTGGCCAGGGGAGTGGGAGGCTGGGGCCTGTTCTGCCCTGACCTGTGGGTCCCCTTCCTGCCTTGGTTTCCTGATCTGTCATTCACAGGCCAGTTCAAGGCTTGAAGGGGCTCCACAAAGTGTGCAGGCAC